AAAAAGTTGTCATTCCAAATTAATTACTATAATTAAACGTTCAGAGTTTTAAAATATTCGCTTCATAGAAGATATCAAAATAAAGATAAAAAGGTGTTAAGAGACCTATGAGAGATGATTCGTGAATTGAGAAATTCATAAAAATCAATTTCAAATTAAGTAAAAATGAGAAAGTCAAAATCATAAATAAAACAGAGGAAAAACAGAAAATACTAAATTCCAAAATCACACCCTAAATTTAGAGTAAATAGTAACCAATAAATAAAAAGAGAGAGAGGAAACAAATAAAAGTTCATATGCTTCAAGAATACCAAAACTTTCGTCAAATAGGTCACCTTCTCAATTATGCATTTCTCTAGTTTTTGTTTTTTTACTATTGACATCCATTAAATAATTAAAATCACGTGATGATTTTGTCAAAATTAAAGTAATTTATAGGTTTAATTTATTTAAGCTATTTTGGTAATTTAAATGTAAAAACGTTAGCTTTCAAAAATTTCAAAACATGGGTTACTGTTCAAAATACATCAAATTATTGGAATATTTTTAGTAATTTTCTCATATTTTCTAATCATTTTCTAATTTAATTATATAATTATATAAATAGAGGACTGCTCCAAATTTAATCATTTTAATTAATCATTTTAATCATTTCTCATATGTTACATCGAATAATCATTTTAATTAATATATAGAGGACTGCTCCAATTTTCTAATTTAATTATATAAATAAATTTTGTTAATATATTAATATAATATTAGTAATATACACACAAAAGCCCCTCAATCTGGATTTCTCTCTGCTGATAAATGTGGCACACGGCAGCTTATTTTAGTGCAACTGCGTTGGATCTTCACTTTGTCTTTATATTTTGTGTAAAGCACATCCATTAAAGTACACTTAGTAATTTTGTGGAAAGCACATCCATTCGTCTTTATATTTTGTGTAAAGGACACAAGTTAGTCGTTGTGGGCCACATTTGTGAAGATCCAACCAGTTGCTCCTAAGTTAGTCGTTGTGGGCCACATTTATTTGACTGATATTCTTCATATCTTGTGTAACCCTTCTCAACCCACACATTCACACTGATTTTCTCTTCCTTCTTTCTTTGTACACAATAATAAANATGGTATTAGTGTTATATTTAAAAGACGTTAATAACCCTTGATTGTACCCCCCCCTCACTTTCTTTCTCGTGCTCCTCTTCTTGTTCTCCTCACACCGATAATAAATAAGTTTTGATAGCTAGTTCGTTGGGTTTTAGTTTACACATCATTTATTATAATTATACCCTCGTCTACGTACACCTCAATCCTTCACCCCATTCAAAAAGTCCTCGCTATACTATCCACGTGTAAAATAATTGACTATATATATCCACCTTACACCTCAATCCTTCACTTCCTCAGATCCTCTTACGTACAGCTCTTCTTTCTCTCCGCAAACCCATTGCTCTTTTAGGAAAAACACAGACATGGCTACTATCAATTCTTCCTTTCAAACTAGTTCCGGTGACGATGAGAGCACGTCAGATAACGTTGTGTACTCCTCCGTACCACACTTTGTTATTTTAACCATTAAAATGATCGTTATCGGTTTACTCCAAAGCACCCCAACAAAGGCTGAGATTCGTGATCCCACAGTCCTTTGCTTCTTGTCCTTCTGCCTCATCTATTTCGTCCTTCTCGTACAAGAAGCAATGCTCAGACGAAACCAGTCTCTCAGTGCCCACTTTGTTAGGAAGGCCAGTCATTTCTTTGGCGTAGCCGCGGTTAACATTCTCGTCTCGCTCATTTCTCCTGTCTTCGCCCTCGTCGTTGCTATTATGTGTTTCTTTTGGCTCCTCTTCGTTATGTACAGTTTCTGTATCAAGCACAACCAGACCGATGAAACTGCTGTCAATCAATCTGATGATCAGATTCCTCCAGTCTAATCATTTTATCCAAAAGAAAGAGGATACTTTAATCATTTTCTATCGTAATAAACCTCTTTGCGCTTTGAATATATCTTGTTTTAAGACCTCTCCCATGTGTGATGTAATTTAAGGTTTAATTCTGTTTGTAGAGTCTCGTTTTCCTTATTTGTATCATCCATCAGATTTTCCTGTTGCTATCGGTTTATAGTACTATCTAATTCTTTTAGTTAGGGTTTAGTCAAATGTATGCTATTTTAAGGTTAAATAATCGCTTTTTAGTTTTTATTAAATTTTTCAATCAATTAAATAAAATATATAGATATATTAAATCTTACCTTGCACTATAAGCAATGACATCAAGGCTATTAGAGAGGCTATATCGGCCAAATCTTCTTCGGAAACTTGATCGTGGCGGTCCGATTCTTAGGCTTCTTCCTCTGCGTTTGGAACCCTAGGCTGAGCCAAGCGTCTCCATCATCCCACGCTCTAATCCGCCGTGTTGCCTCCCCAAAGAGCCCGGAAAACGCGTAAGTATTCGGAATCGGAGAGGCTGGACCACTGATAGACCCAAAAAAAATATTTTACCGGAGTCAAATATATTAAAGTATTAAATTTCTATAGTAAAAAATAAATTTCTATAGATAAATTTGATGCTAAAATGGTTAGAACAATTTGCTAGACTCGAGTCGGGGAGGCTAGAACATCAATCGCCAAGCCGCATCTTTGTTGCCTGGTCGGTCTTGAGAATATTTGAGCCACGGAACAACAAAATTAGGCTGAGTG